GGTATTTATAGTTTTTGCTATAGCTTCACAAAGTGTTTTATTAAAGCATTCTACTAACCCATTAGTCTGTGGTTGATAGGAGGTGGACAATAGGTGCTTAATATAGAACCTTTCAAGTAATTGGTCTACTAGCAGGTTACAGAAGTGAGTTCTCTAATCTAACAGTATCTTTTCTAGATATCCATGTCTGCAGATTATTTTGTTATATAGAAACTCTGCTACTTCTTGGATGTTAGCAAATTTTATTGCTTTGGCCTCAGGCTATTTGGTTATATAGTCTGTAGCTACTATGATATACTGATTTTCTCTAAACGTTATGAGAAGGAGCCTGATGATATCAATTCCTATTTAATAGAAGGGAGTGGTGATCAGGATAGGGTATAGTGGTCCTTTATTCTTGTTTTTATCTCTTCTTTAGCACTTATTGCATCTTTTTACATAGTCTTTAATATCTTCATATAATTTAGGCCAGTACTGCTTAGATCTAATCTTGTAGAACATAGTATCTGTTCCAAAGTATCCTCTTAACAAATAGTCATGTGTCAACATTAATATAGCCTCTCTTTGGTATTCTGAGATGACTTTTAACCAGTTATCAGGGTCTTGCTCATCTTTTAGATATAAATTCCCTTCCTTGACTTTCATGTTTTTCCCATTTCTAATTATCTTTCTTTTGAATTATAGATTTAGGTTTAGCAGTATATATTGTTTTTCTATGTAATCTTTTAGGGTATTATATATATTGGTTTTCATTTCAAAGTTTTGCAGGATACTGATAACCTAGACTGAATATTATTTACCATCAGATTTAGGTATGTTATTCTTTAATTTTCTCTCTTTTTTTTTTTTTTTTTTCATAGGTTACTAGTTTTCAGATTTTGTGAGTTAATAATAGGAGGTACCTATTTCGAATTCATCATTCCTCCAGGTTGATAAGCTTATTTGATAACTATTTTCTAAGTTAGATGATTCTTTTTCTATGCTATAACTTCTTTCAAATTGTCTTTGATAACTATTTTGTTTTAACTAGATATATTCTCTTCTAGATTTAATAGTTAGTGATTCTAACAATTCCTCGTATTCTTTTTCTCACCTAAAATATTTCTCTAGGTCTTTATCTTCATTTAGGTTCTACTAAGCTTCTCTGGCACCAAGTTGATTAGGTGTGAAGTCAGAATCACTACTTTCGTCAGAATCCCCTTCATAGGTTAATTCACTTCCAACCAAATCCTCAGATTCATTTGTGAATTCAAGGTCTGATTTACTTGTTTCTTCTATTTTATTATTATTTTACTACAACTCTCTATTCTTGTCTAACTATTCCAATTTGCTTTTATAGTTCTATAGCATTTTTCTAATAGCCTTTGACAGTGTTTAAGGCTTTCATTATTCTTATACCTTTCATTGTATTCTTTTTTTCTTAGATCTTAGTTGTTTGTTTCTTTACTAATTTTTTTCTCCTTAGCTTCATATTCCAATAAGCTTAGTAGCCAGTCTAGGCATTTTACTTCATTTATTTTTCTTTTTTCCAAGGTTATCAAGTGGGTTTCTGTTTTTGACTTACTATAATAATTTCCTTCTTTAGGTCTTCTGAACAACGTATCCATGTTGTTATAGATTTTGCTAGCCCTATACTTAATAGTGTAATTGTAGGGCTATAGTCTAAGTATCCACCTCACTCTTTTTCCTATGAGCTTAGAGATATGTAGCTATTTTAGTACCATGTAGTCTGTTACTACCACAAAAGACTTAAATCTGAAATAATACCTATAGTATTCAACAGCTTATAATATTGCTAGACATTCTAATTCTATAGCAGAATAATTCCTTTCTGCTTTAGACAAGCTCCTACTAGTATATAAGATTACATGCTTATTATTCTTTTGTTTTTTTGAGCTAAGACTGCCCTAGACCTATACAGGAAGCATCTATATATAAATAAAATTTTTTAGAGAAATCAAGATACTGAAGTATAGATAAGGATATTAGGCATTCTTTTAATCTTTCGAATGCTTTTTGTTGATCTGTGTTCTACTTATACTCAATGTTTTTCTTTAGTAATTCATGCGAAGCTGTGCAATTGTTGTGAAACTTTTAATGAACCTCCAGTAGTAGAAGGCCAACTCTATAAATGCCTTTAATTGTTTAAGGATTCTTGACACAGGATAATTTTTCACCTTATCGACTTTAGACTCGTTAAGTTGGATCCTACTTCATCCTACAGT